CCTCCGTGCACAGCTCAGTGTCTGCCGGGGGGCAGCTGGGATCCGCCGGGTTGTCCCCGCCATGGGCTGCTGCTCCGGGGGGGAGTCCCATCCCACCCCCAGCGCCCACTCAGGAGGGGACCCTGAGCACTGGTTCGGCCCCCGCAGCATGGTGCTGGGGCAGGGGATCCCGTGCTCGTCCCTCGCCCCGCACGTGTCAGGGGGGCTGCAGAAGCACGGGGGTGTCCGTGCTTGGGCACAGTCCCAGCTGCTGTTCCTGGCAGGGGGCCAGGCCCCCAGCTTGCATGACAGCGTCAGGCTGGGGACGGCTAAATATACAGCTGCGTCCGAGTGCCGTGCCCCACCAGGCTGGGGTCATGCACTGGGGCAGCGTTGGCGACCCCTGGGGCTGGGTCAGGGGGGCAACGTACCCCCTCTGTCCTCCAGCCCATGCTGGTGGGGTCTGGCTGGGTGGTGCATACCCAAAAAAGCCCTCCCTGGTGCCCTTCAATCCTGCAGCTGCCTGTCCTTGCAGCAGGATTGGGGTCACAGCTTGCAGGAGCTGCCATTGCCTCTCCAGGAGGGCTGGGCGGTGTAGTGTGGTGGGGGGAGCATGACAAGCAGGGTGTCCCGGGGAGGATGGCGATGTGCATCGTCGACACTGGGGGTCCTTGGGGTGCTGCTGTGTGGGGAGAGCCTCCCTAGTCCTAGCAGTCCCTGGGGTGCCCCACGCCTCGGGTGCTGGGGTGGGTACCAAGTGCAGGCTGGTGTCCAGGGAGATTGTGGAGGGATGTGAAGCTCAACCTCCCCTGCACCCCCCTCCAGGTGCGGCACCGCCAGTCGGGGCAGATCATGGTGCTGAAGATGAACAAGCTGACGAGCAACCGGGGCAACATGCTGCGGGAGGTGCAGCTGATGAACCGCCTCTCGCACCCCAACATCCTCAGGTAGGACCTGCTCCCCCACTGCCGTCCCCGTTGCTCCCCGTTTCCCTAGCCTGGGGAGTTTGGCGCTACTGTCAGCTCTGGATGAGCTCCTGGGGCTGGTCCGTGCCGTGACCACCCTCAGGTCCCCTCTCTCTTGCAGGTTCATGGGGGTGTGTGTGCACCAGGGACAGCTGCACGCGCTGACGGAGGTGAGAGCGGGACAACGGCCGTGAGTCTTGGTGTTCCTGCAGGCCTGGGGAGGCGACAGTGATGGCTATGGGGACACTTTCTCCGCCCATGGCACATGTGCAGGGCAAGGGCTGCCGGGGGGCTGTGCCATAGGGTGGTTGGCGGATGAGCTGGGATGAGAGTTGGGCATCCAGCGTTATGGGAGGGAGTGGGGTGCAGTGATGCGATTGCCTGGCTCTTCCCATCAGTACATCAACGGTGGGAACCTGGAGCAGCTGCTGGACAGCCCTGTGCCCCTCTCCTGGTCCACCCGTGTCAAGCTGGCCCTCGACATCGCCCGTGGCCTCCGCTACCTGCACTCCAAGGGCATCTTCCACCGCGACCTCACCTCCAAGGTACGGGATGCTCCAAAGCATCCTATTGCCCTCATTGTCCCATACCCACGTTGCTGCCCCAGGCATGGCCAGCTGGGGAGCAGGAGGCTGTGCTGTGGCGGGGCATCCTGGGATTGGTGGCTGGTGAGGCAGGGCTGGTGCGGTCGGTGTGACGGGGGGGTCCTCCTTTGCCCCCAGAACTGCCTGGTGCGCTGCGAGGCCAATGGCTACACCGCGGTAGGGGGGGGCTTCCGGCTTGGCAGAGAAGACCCCCCCCTACAGGTATGTGGGCAGCGTCCCCCTGTCCGTCCCCATCCTTGGAGTGGGGAGTTTCCAGCCCATTTGGAGCAGCAGCTGGGGAGGGATGGACATTTGGGATGCAAGCTAGAAGGGCAGGGATGGGGGGTGGTGGGTGTGGTCCTCGGCTGTGGGGACTCATGGGGCAGATGGACACATTTGGAGCTGGTTAGGAGAGGATGGAGAAGGGGGTGGTGTGGGTGAGGAGAGATGAGTTTGTGGGGTGCATGGAGGAGGGTTAGCCCAGGAAGGGAGATGGGGATGGTGATGTGGGCTGCCCCAGAGGGAGGGTGGGAGGTCAGACAGGGACAGGGGACTGTGGGCAGCCTCTTGATGTCCCACCATGTCCCCCAGCGAGGGCAGCGAGAAGGAGCCGCTGGCCGTGGTGGGCTCCCCATACTGGATGGCGCCTGAGGTGCTGCGAGGGGAGATCTACAACGAGAAGGTGAGGCTCCGTGGCTGCCGTGTGTGGGACTTCATCCAGGCTTGCACAACCAGTGGTTTGCAGGATTTGCAGCCCTGGGGGCGTTCGGGCACACAGAGGGAAGGAACTGGGCTTACCCTCGGGTGGCGAGGTTGCAAGAGCCCCGGTGTGGCTTAGAGGGGAGGAGGGGGCAATGGTGGGCATGTCACCTTGGGGCTGCAGGGACCCCCCATGACTCCCTGCTCTCTGCAGGCCGATGTGTTCGCGTACGGCATCATCCTGTGCGAGACCATCGCTCGTGTCCCCGCGGACCCTGACTACCTGCCCCGCACCGAGGTGACTCCCTGGGATGGGGACAGGGAGGGAGGATGGTGGGCAGCAGCGTCGGGGCTGGGACCGCATCACCAAATGAGGGGGACCATCCTCCTGTGCTGGGCAGAGCCCCATGTGCAGGAGCTGCCCCGCAGCTCAGGGCAGGGGTGCTGTGTCCCAAATGCTGGCCGCGGAAGGATGCTCTCTGCCTGTCCTCAGAGCCCATGGTCGGCCTGGGTGGGAGACGGGGACTGTTGAATTCAGGCAGAGAGCAGGAGGGATCTGTGTCCCAGCATCCCTCAGCCTTGTCCCAACTTGGGGTGACCCCAAGGTCCCCCCTTGCTGTGCCCCAGCCAGGGTGCTGCCAGGTCCACAGCCCTGGGTGGCACACAGTCCGTGCAGGGAGGGGGGACCAGGCCATGTGGTGCCCCAAGAGACCCAACCTCACTCTTCCTCCTTTCCCTGGCAGGATTTTGGTCTGGACGTCACCACTTTCCGCACCATGGTGGGAATTGACTGCCCAGCAGCCTTCCTCCAGCTCGCTTTCCACTGCTGCAGTGTGAGCATCCCATCTCTGCTGTTCTTCCCTGCCAGGGCAGCTGGGCAGGACAGGCAGCCTTGCCTGCACAGGGGGGAGGCAGGGAGCTGCCTTTGCTGGGCAGGACTCCCTGGGGTGCTTGGGGGGCCACAGACCCAATGGGGAATCCCTCCTGCCCGCAGATGGAGCCCACCTCCCGTCCCTCGTTCCTGGAAATCACGCAGTGCCTGGAGGGCATCCTGCAGCACCAGCTGGCCGCCGAGGGCACGGGGGCCACCCTCTTCGGCAGCGGGGAAAGCCTGCCCATGCCTGGGATGGCGTCCACGCTCAACGGTACATGGGCATCCCGGGGACAGGCCATAGGGGAGTGGAAGGAGGGGGGATGCAGGGTGTCCCATCCTACCTGGCTGCTGCAGGGGAAAGAGACAGGGGTTGCATGGGGTCTGCAGGATGGAGCCAGTCGCTGTTCCCCTCTTGGGGTGCACCCCTGGGTTGTTGGGTGCCTGGCATCCCGTGGCACCCTGCACCGGCTGCTGTGGGCAGCTGGTGACCCGCTCCTGTGCTTGTGCTCAGGGGTACCCAGGAGGGTGGCTGGCCGTGCCGAGCAGTCGCCCCTGCGTGAGCTGGGGACGCAGCACCTGCAGCCGGACCAGCGCCTGTCCCGCAGCCAGTCCGACATGTTCCCCCCCAAATCGCCCACCCTGCTGCGGCCGCCGGAGCCCTA